TAACGGGAGTGACTATAGAGGGAGTTGACTGTATAATAGTTTTATAAATTCCTTTAAAAAATATTATATTGTAATATAAATTTATTATTATTTTTTTTTATAAGTAATTATTAATAATTAAAAATCCATGGAAATCTATAAAAAATCCATGAAAATACTATGGAATATTGAATTTTGGCATTTTGTCTTTTAATTTTAAATGTCTAAACTATTTCAGTTTAGTCAAATGATTAAATATCTAATTTATATAATTAAATTTGTGGCATTGATTAAATTAATGGCTTTAAATTTGGACACTTATTAGTTAAAATCATGTTTTTTATTTGATTAAATTTGCAGCTTTAAATTTAATTAAAACCGTGGCACTTATATGATTAAATTCGTGGCATTGATTAAATTAATGGCTTTAAATTTGTAGATAAAATTAAATTTGTGGCATTTATATGATTAAATTTGTGGCATTTATGTGATTCAATTTGTGGCATTTATATAATTAAATTTGTGGCATTTATGTGATTAGATTCATGCAATTATTAAACTTGTGCCAATTAAAATTTGCAGAATTTTATTAATTAAATTTTATAAAATTTTTATTTTTATCATATCTATATATTAAAATTAATCTTATTCTAAGCCTTAATTGAAATAAATAAATAGTACGTTTATTTCTATCCTCTTGAATTTTTTTATAATTTCATATTTTATTGAATAAATAAAATAATTCGTAAATAATAGATGATCAAAACTATATTACTTTAAGTGAAAATAAAGACTCCAGTGACGAAATCACTGAAATTACTTTAATACCATTAGCAAAGAAAAGAGAATGTCCTCCAAAGTCATTTAAAATCCTTGGAAAGCAAAAAATGACAAGTGTTAGTGAAAAATCAGATCAAGAATTATTAACTGCATTTGAATCAACAAGCCAAATATCAAATGATTCAAATTCCTTTAAACAAACTACTGTAATAAATAAGCCACAATCAAAAGTAAATTGGGTATGAGATTATTTTGTTAGAAAACAAATGAAAGAAGAGAAGTACATACATATTGTAAAAATGTATAAAAAACTATAAATATGATGGGTCTACAGGAAATCTTAGTTACCATGCCATTAAACATGAAATTATACCATCTACAGAAAGTATTACATCTGACAATAAATCAAAGGCAATCCAATCTACTATGTCTAATATTAATGGACAAAAAGAAAAAGAATTATCTCTATTACGATGGATTCTTTTAACAATCCAACCTCTTTTTACTGTAATCCATAAGGCTTATATTGAGCATATGCATATTATTGATCCACTATTTACAGTTTTTGAAGAAAAAAAAATAAGAATGATGATTGCTTGTAGTTATGGATATAATAGAAATAAATTAAAACTACTTTTAAAAACTGCTTAATCAATATCTTTAACTACTGATTTATGGTCTTCTTGTTCAAAACATGAATATTTGGGTTTAACAGCAACTTGAATCAATAAAGATTTGAAATACATATGGGCTGATTTATTTATTACTCTGCATTAAAAAGAGTTATTGAATTGATCTTCACAATTTTTGTTACTCAAAATTGTTTTGTAATACCAAAAAATCATCTGATTGATGATCACTTAACTAAATAATAAGTTGAGCAAAAATTTACATTTGCGAAACTTAAATTATTAAATGTAAAAGAGCTGTAAAAAACCCATTTTACTAATAAAAAACCCATTTTTCATATATATGGAATTTTTAACATATATTATTAAAAAGTAAGTATATTTTAATAAAATATAAAGTAAAAT